ACCAGGTAAGGCTTTTCTCCCTTCTTCCTGGCTGTTTGTCCACATAGGAGGCAGGAGAGCAGGGATAAAAGCAGAGCTCTCGGAGTCCGACAGAATCCCAGATGTGTCACTCACTGTGTGGTCTTGAGGAACTTACTTTATGTCATTGAATAATAATAGTGCTTGCCTTTTCAGCAATTCTCAACCTGTGGGTCGCGAACAATGAAAGTACATCCTGCATATCAGATATTTACATTACGATTCATAACAGTAGCAACATTACAGTTACGAAGTAGCAACGAAAATAATTTTATGGTTGGGGGTCACCACAACATGAGGAACTGTATTAAAGGCTCACGGCATTTAGGAAGGTTGAGAACCACTGCTTTAGATTGAAGAAAGGTGTAAATAAAGTTAATGCATTAAAAATGTTTAGCACAGTATTCGAGTAGGTACTCAAATATTAGCTATTCTTTTTAGTTGTGACAAGAGGCCCCGATATCCACAAATAAAACTTGTATGCCTCTCAAGAAAAATGCAACTAAAAGTAAAAATGTCAGGCCAAGTCAAAGCAGGACATGGGTAAACAGTTTCATCCTGTGTTTAGTCTGTTAAGTTTTGCCTTTGTTTTCCGCTAAGGAAAAAGCTGTTTTATTAGATTGAGAAGCTGGGTTAACCTGGCTGAGCCCTGAAGAGAGCTGTTAACTATTGCGATTCTCCTTCATATCTTCATTATCCTTGTTTTTTCTTTATAAAACAAGTCAGTGCTTCATGATTCTTTCAAAGCTTTGCTTTCATCCTTATTCTAGGACATGCAGTTTTATTGGGGTTTTTATAGTCTTTCTTTTTTTAAAAAATTGATTTCAGAGAGAAAGGGAGAGGGAGAGAGAGAGAAACATCAATGACGATGCCTGGCCAGTATAGTTAGTGGTTGAGCATCGATCTATGAACTAGGACAAGGGTCCTCAAACTACGGCCCGCGGGCCACATGCAAATACAAATATTGTATTTGTTCCCGTTTTGTTTTTTTACTGCAAAATAAGATATGTGCAGTGTGTATAGGGATTTGTTCATAGTTTTTTTTTAAACTATAGTCCGGCCCTCCAATGGTCTGAGGGACAGTGAACTGGCCCCCTGTTTAAAAAGTTTGAGGACCCCTGTACTAGGAGGTCACAGTTTGGTTCCCGGTCAGGGCACATGCCCAGGTTGCAGGCTCCTGGGCATCCAGTGGCGGGGTATGCAGGAGGCAGCCAATCAATGATTCTCTCTCATCATTGATGTTACTGTTTCTCTCTTTCTCTCTCCTCCTCTCTGAAATCAATAAAAATATATTTTAAAAAAAGAAGAAACATCATTTTCATTTTTAAAAAATTATAATTACTACCCTAGCTGGTTTGGTTCAGTGGATAGAGCATTGGCCTTCGAGCAAAGGGTCTCAGGTTTGATTTCGGTCAAGGGCACATACCTCGGCTGCAGGCTCCTCCCTGGCCCAGGCCCTGGTCAGGGTGCATACAGTAGTCAATCGATTGGTGTGTTTCTCTCACATTGATGTTTCTCTCTGTCTTTTCCTCTCCCACTCTTTCTAAAAATCAATGGAAAAGTATCCTCGGGTGAGGATTAAAAAATAAAATTATGATTACTAATTATTTCATTTTAATTCATTCAATTTTACATATTCACAAGTGGTTGGTAGTTACCGATTTGGAGAGGTCTAGTGGGAACAATAAGGCAGAGTTACACATATAACAATGGTATACCAAAACAAGGTGATAGATACTGTCTCCCTACACATCCAGTCATGTTGATTTTACTCCCTTAATGAAGGTCTCAATTTTTTTTCTTCCTGCTCACCTTTACTACGGAGCTAGTACATCGCTTTTTTTAAAAAATATATTTTTAGCCAAACCGGTTTGGCTCAGTGGATAGAGCTTCGGCCTGCGCTTGCATGTCCCCTACTGGGCATAGAGCCCACAACCCGGGCATGTGCCCTTGACTAGAATGGAACCTTTAGTCCGCAGGCTGATGCTGTATCCACTGAGCCAAACCGGCTAGGGTGCCAGTCCATCGCTTTTAGAATAAGTCCTTCCAGAAAGATGATACAAACCCTGACGGTCAGATTTGCAAGGAAGCACATATTTCAGCGCATCCACCTTTGGCTGTTACCTTAGGTCTGGCAGGCCTTTCCCCTGCACGGTCGTGTCACTGGTGGGGACCATTAGAGAACTAGAATCGGGGAGAAGCTGCTCCAAGATAGGTTGCCCTGCTGTAGCCTCGCAGGGCCACCTGCCTCTGAGAAGCTGCTCTATTCCTGGCTAATTCAGTCACAAACGGAACAGTTTGTGTGTGCTCTCTTCCTGTCAGTGTGTGGCCACCTAGTCTGCCTACAGCTCTTTAAAAGTTGAAATGTGCCCTTTTTTTCAGTTCAAACCCATCTTCCTGAACACTATTGATCCGTCTCACCCCATGGCAAAGCTGAGCAGAGCTGCCAATACCCAGAAATGCATCCGGGCCGGGGGCAAGCACAATGACCTGGACGACGTGGGCAAGGATGTCTATCATCACACCTTCTTTGAGATGTTGGGCTCCTGGTCTTTTGGAGATTACTTCAAGGTAAGATCAAAGCAGGAGGTCTGTTGGGGTTTTGAGCAAAATAGTCATTACCACTGAGGGAAGCGGATTCTAATTTTGCTTGTCACTTAGGAGTAAATCTAAATGATGATATTTTAAGACTTCGTGGTGGCAATACCTATAATTTTATGATTACAGTTCACATTTGGATTTCTTGCATAAATCAATAATCAATCCTGAATTCTGCTGAGTTTATTTATTTATTTTTAAAAATATATTTTTATTTATTTTAGAGAGGAAGGGAGAGAGAGAGAAACATTAATGATGAGAGAGAATCATTGATCGGCTGCCTCCTGCACACCCCACATTGGGGATCAAATCTGCAACCCGGGCATGTGCCCTGACCAGGAATTGGACCATGACCTCCTCGTTCATAGGTGGATGCTCAACCACTGAACCATCCATGCTGGCCGGGCGTCTGCTGAGTATATAATGAAGATGTTGTCATTTTCTATCTGTGTTCTCAGGATCTGGACTTACTGTCCTCATACTAAATAGTAGAATAAACCAAACACTGGCTTGGCCATGTTCCATATCTTCCTTTTCGTTCCTTTTTGTAGGAATTGGCATGTAAGATGGCTCTGGAACTTCTCACCCAAGAGTTTGGCATTCCGGTGGAAAGACTTTATGTTACTTACTTTGGTGGGGATGAAGCAGCTGGCTTAGAACCCGACTTGGAGTGCAAACAGATCTGGCAAAACTTGGGGTAAGATTTCAACTCACATTTGATGAGAATGGAGGAGTAAAGTGATTGGTGCCAGAGTAGGCTTTTAGGACTTGGAGTACATTGCCATTTCCCATTTCACGATGGAGGTGGGGTGACTGAGTAATTATCTTTAGGTATGCTCATTGTTTCTTAGTACGTTTGATTGGTCATTCTATTTTGGAAAGCCAACATGAAGTCATATTTTTTAAGTTTTGTATATTTTTAGAAATTGTGCATATAATTCATGTGTTGTAGAAATCCAAACTACATAGAAATGTAAAAATAGGAATTAGAAGATTTCTAAGATTAACCATTGTTAATAGTTTGATATCCCATATATACTCTTCCAGGCCTTTTTTATATTTCTGTAGCCCTATGTGTATCTTTTTCAACAGAGTGATATTATTAATATGAAACAGTTTATTTCTTATGGAAATGTAATGGCATCAAACAGGTCTAGGACAAAGGAAGTTTTTTGTTTTTTACTTGGGGATGTGGAATGAGGAGGGGTGGAGAGCTTGGTTAGGGATGCAGGAGAGGAGTAGTAAAAGCCATTTGAGTTTTTAAAAATATAAGATAATTCTAAAGTAAAATCATGTAGCGTAAAAGGAACATGATAGATGAGCTGTATGTGTTCTGTGCTTTAGACGGAATAGGATTTGTGAAGTGCTGTATCAAAAGTGGAGAGATGTACCCTGTAGACAGCTGGGGTGCCCATGGTGCCCTTGTCTCATCTTCTTGTTCTTTTTACTGAACCCTGCTGTTCTTTAGTACATAGCTTTTAAAAAAAATACTATCAATGACCTTAAGCTAATATCTTTTTTTTCTTTTAAATCCTCACCCAAGGATATTTTTCTTTTTAAAAAAATTTTTTAATTGATTTCAGAGAGGAAGGGAGAGGGAGAGAGAGAGATAGAAACATCAATGATGAGAATCATTTATTGATTGGCTACCTCCTGCACACCCCCTGCTGCGGATCGAGCTCGCAACCCAGGCATGTGCCCTTGACTGGAATCAAACCTGGATCCCTCAGTCTGCAGGCCGATGCTTTCTACACTGAGCCAAACCAGGGCTAAGCATGTCTTTTTAAAAAATATGTTTTTATTGATTTCAGAGAGAGGAAGGGAAAGGGAGAGAGATAGAAACATGGATGATGAGAGAAGCATTGATCGGTCGCCTTCTGCACTCCTCCTGTTGGGGATTGAGTCCACACCTGGGCATGTGCCCTGACCAGGAATTGAACCTCGACCTCCTGATTCATGAGCCACACCAGCTGGGCTTCTGCATAACTTTTTAGTACACTTAAGCAAGGCAGCCTTTCTTTCTTTCCTTTTTTAACTTTTACTTCAGTTAATTATTCCATCCAGCTTCCCCTTGTGCTTGGCCTAAAATTCCTACTTGGTTAGACTCAATAGTCTAATGTACTTGGGCATTTTGGGCAGTAACATATGTAAAACTTAAATACTGACCTTGACTTTTTTTTTTTTTAAAATATATTTTATTGATTTTTTACAGAGAGGAAGGGAGAGAGATAGAGAGTTAGAAACATCGATGAGAGAGAAACATCAACCAGCTGCCTCCAGCACACTCCCCACTGGGGATGTGCCCGCAACCAAGGTACATGCCCTTGACCGGAATCGAACCTGGGACCCTTGAGTCCGCAGGCTGACGCTCTATCCGCAGAGCCAAACCAGTTAGGGCGACCTTGACTTTTTGAGTCCTGTTTTACTTGGCTTTCTCTGTGTCTGTGCTTTGTTTATTAAGTAAGCACAGTCTTTTTGGATTGCTTTATTATAATAGCAACTTTCAGCAGTCAGCTATTTTTGAAACGGTTTAATCTTATTAGATTCTTTTTGGTATCATTTTAAGGTAAAATATAGATGACTAATATGAGAGGTAACTTTAATCAGATTTTTTAATTTTTTTTTAACACTTATACTGTCATATAGTCATTTTTTAAAATGAAGAACCATTTGTCAAGAAAATATTTGCTTAGATTCTAGTCGTATGCAGTATAAATGTTTCCATTTTTAATGTGTTCCTTTCTAGGTGTTATCCATATTTTTGCATATTTTTATTTAGTCATGTTTGGAGCATATGTATATTTTGTATCCTATTGTTATCACTCTTGAGAAGAATCATGTTCTGACTCTTTAGCAGGGTCTGTATGTAGGCTTGGCATTAGTAATTGCCAGAGAGTGGTCCATCTTTGTAGAAATTTATAAGGATCTCTTTTTGCAGCGGATGCAAGTCTGTGCTAAATCCTGTCTGTGGTTATAACTGGGCTTATCCTTCCCACTGTGTGCAGGGTGGATGACACCAAAATCCTCCCCGGCAACATGAAGGATAACTTCTGGGAGATGGGTGACACAGGCCCGTGCGGTCCCTGCAGTGAGATCCACTATGACCGGATCGGAGGTCGGGATGCTGCACATCTTGTCAACCAGGATGACCCCAACGTGCTGGAGATCTGGAACCTCGTGTTCATCCAGTATAACAGGTGGCCTTGGGATCCTGGACCATTCCTTCTGAGATATCCCATATATATTCTCCCAGGCTTTTCTCATATTTCTGTAGCCCTGTGTGTATCTTTTTAGACAGTGTTATTCTTCATATAAAAGTTTATTTCTTATGGAAATGTAATGGTGTCAAACAGATCTAGGACAAAGGAAGTTTGGGTTTTTGGTTTTATGTCCTTGGGCTGCACAGAGAGGAATCAGGCGTGTAAGCTGTCTTCTCATCCTGGTCTCTGGGGACAGTGGGACAGTGCTAACGCAGGCACCAAAGGCATCATGGCATCTTGTGGCCATTCTTTTATTTCTCAAGTTTTCCCTCTGATCTCTGGGTCAGAGCTAGGGCTATTCTTTTATAAATGAATTTTATTCCCCATGATACCGACTTGAAGGCTATTTCTGTAATGTCATTTGGGCCATTATTTTATTTTTTTGAAAAATAATATATTCTTTTTAGTCCTTAACCAAGAATAATTTTTTCCATTGATTTTTTTTTTTTTAAGAGAGAGTGGAAGGGAGGGGAGAAACAGAGAGAGAGAGAAACGTCTATGTAAGAGAGACATATCGATTGGTTGCCTCCCACCCTCACCCCATTTGGGACTGGGGATAGAGCCTGCAACTGAGGTACATGCCCTTGGCCAGAATCGAACCCAAGACCCTTCAGTCCGTGGGCCAGTGCTCTATATACTGAGCCAAACCTCTAGGCCTAGACTGTTATTTTAAAGCTTAAATTTTCTGAAGCTTTGCCTCCCTTCTAAATGCACCCCAGAGTACTTCTTACCTTTCTCTCTTCACTCCCCTCCTCCCACCAAATCAGGCAGGGGCAAATGACAAGAAGTCCCCATCTGCAAGCTGCTGCGTAAATGCGTTTTAATCGGCAAGGAGAGCTGAGTCCTCTTTTCAACTTCTTTTTTCTCTGATCATGCAGGGAAACCGATGGAACTCTGAAACCTCTTCCTAAGAAAAGTATTGACACAGGGATGGGCCTGGAGCGACTGGTGTCTGTGCTGCAGAATAAGATGTCCAACTACGACACTGACCTTTTTGTCCCTTACTTTGAAGCCATTCAGAAGGTACTGGCCCTTTTGCAAACATTGCCAACTTGTGTGGAAGTTTCCAGGCTGGGCTCTTAGCAGTGCTGTCAAAAGTTGAATAACCAGATGCTTTGCCAGCTGAGGGTCCTGTGACCATCTGCCAACTTTATTGTTAATAACACAAGGCTCTGGGCACAAGGCACTATAATGTGTGGAGAGCAGGGCGCTGGCTGGAGGCTCTTCAGTCCCACTGCTCTCACCGTTCTTGGCAAGAGGTTCGTTCTTTCTCCTAATGCCCCTCAGTCCTCTCGGAACCTCCTAGGGCAGTGGTTCTCAACCTTCTGGCCCTTTAAATACAGTTCCTCATGTTGTGACCCAACCATAAAATTATTTTCGTTGCTATTTCATAACTGTAATGTTGCTACTGTTATGAATCGTAATATAAATATCTGATATGCAAGATGGTCTTAGGCGACCCCTGTGAAAGGGTCGTTTGACCGCCAAAGGGGTCGCGACCCACAGGTTGAGAACCGCTGTCCTAGGGCAAGGCAAGGCCAGAAAGGCTGTTTCCTCATGTGCTGCCTCCTGGATTTTATCTGTAGGGCACAGGTGCCCGGCCGTACACTGGGAAAGTTGGTGCTGACGATGCTGATGGGATTGACATGGCCTACCGGGTGCTGGCTGACCATGCTCGGACCATCACTGTGGCTCTAGCCGATGGCGGCCGACCTGACAACACAGGGCGGGGGTATGTTACATATGGGGCGATGTTAGGACTCTGTGCAACTTAGAGCTATGTTTTATTGTTTTCTTTGTCTTCTAGGTAGTTGGAGGGAAACTTTGTTTAGGGATGAAGGGAGTTTCAGATCACACTAAAGAGTTGTCGCTTTATTAATTCTTTGCTGCTAAGTACAGATGATACGGATTGATAGAATATTGGTAGCAGTGGGGTAGGGGTAGGTCTTGACTAGCTCCAGGCAACTTCGTTACTGACAGGCAGGGTCTGGGATGGGGGAATCAAGTCCACCATTTGGTCTGCACTTGCCTCCATCTCTGAGGTCAGGAAAACAAGCAATGATTACCCCAGATCAACATTGATGCATATTTGTGGATATGTTACTGCGTTTTGTGCTAGAATTCATGTTAATGAGATTGGGGAATGCAAAAAGAAGCAATCATAGGATAAAGGAAAGGCTTTGAAAGAGAATGACAAAAAGTTGGTCATCTTGCTTTGGGTCGAATTCCAAAGAACTACTACAAAATATTCAGCTGGGACCATATCTAACGGAGGACTGGGTTCTACCTCTTATAGGTATGTGCTGAGACGGATTCTTCGCCGGGCTGTGCGATACTCCCATGAGAAACTCAATGCCAGCAAGGGTTTCTTTGCTACATTAGTAGACGTCGTCGTCCAGTCCCTGGTAGGTCTGTTTCCCTGTTTGCTGCTTCTATACCAGGCACATACCTTGAGGGGGCCCGGGAGGAAGGTAGCATACTGTCAATGAGCATTTTTAGAGGGGGTCATGGAATAGTCCCTGGCTTCCCTGGGCCCACATCTCTGTTTCCCCTTTGCCAGGGAGATGCATTTCCTGAACTAAAGAAGGACCCAGATATGGTGAAGGACATCATTAATGAAGAGGAAGTGCAATTTCTCAAGACTCTCAGCAGAGGGCGTCGCATCCTGGACAGGAAAATTCAGAGCCTGGGAGACAGCAAGACCATTCCTGGTGAGGACCAGTTTAGTTTTTTCCTTTCTCCAACGAGGCTGTTTCGTCTTCCAGGAAGAGACAAACCCTTTTTTCACAAACGGACAGGACTCCCATGCCTCCAGAGGCTGAGCATGGCTTGGTTAGACTGCTTGTGGTGTAAAATTGGGTTTATATTAAAATTATAAAATACATTATTATGATAAAGTATTCAAACAACATACAAGTAAAAGTGAAAATTCTTTTTCCCAAATATGTTTCTCAGAGGTAACAGCTCTTAAGAGCTGGGTGTATTCAGGACGATTCTCTATTTGCATACAAATGTGTGCGTGTGTGCGTGTGTGTGTGTGTGTGTGTGTGTGTGTGTGCGCGCGCGCCAGCAAAAATAGGAATATATAATACATATTGGTTTTTGAAAATTGCTTTATTTTTTTACCAGACAGAACAAATTAATTCTGAAAGTTTTTTTCTTTTTGAAATATAATATAATTTACAAGGGGAAAGGCTGATGAATTTCACAAACTGAACACTTTTTTAGATTAAGAAACAGAACTTTACTAGGAGACTTCTTGTGCTTCCTCCAGGTCATTTCCAAAAAGTTTGATGGCTTTTCTGACAAGCGCATGGACCCAGTACTCACCTTGTCTCTTTAATCCCTCTGTCACTGTCAGCGTCCTCCCGGGAAGGGCTTGGGGGCGAAAGGCAGGGGCCGTCCACATTACTTGACACACTTCCTTTGTGCTGTGCAGGGGACACTGCTTGGCTTCTCTATGACACCTATGGCTTTCCAGTGGATCTCACCGGTCTGATTGCTGAAGAGAAGGGGCTGGTGGTAGATATGGACGGCTTTGAAGAGGAGAGGAAACTGGCCCAGGTAAAGAATTTGGGGAGTGAGCAGGAGACCCAACACCTACCAAGGCAGGACTTGGCTGCAAAGCAAGGAAGAGTTTCCATTCATTAAAGTCTTTGAAATCCCATTTTCCCTAGACCAGTGGGTCTCAGCTGGGGGCATTTTGGCACCCCAGGGGACAGTTGGCAATAATGTCTGAACATATTTTTGTTTACACAACAGGGGCATGCTACTCGCAGAGTAGAAACCAGAGATGCTGCTCACACCCTACAGTGCATAGGGCGGCCCCATAACAAAGAATTATCTGCTGAGATGGAAAAACCCTGTTCTAGAGTTTGACGTTGGACATAGTTTAGCAGCTTTGAGTTTTTCTGCATTCGGGTAACGATGCTTGCTTCTCTTACTGGCAGCTGAAGTCACAGGGCAAGGGAGCTGGAGGGGAAGACCACATTATGCTGGACATTTATGCTATCGAAGAGCTTCGGGGCAAGAGTCTGGAGGCTACAGATGACTCTCCAAAGTACAGTTACCTTTCGGACTCCACTGGGAGCTACGGTATGTTACTGAGCTTGTCTGGAGGGTTTGCAAGAGACACCTAGGGTGTCTGTGGTAGCCTCTCCGTCGGTGTTGTATAGTCACGCTGTGTAATTTCATACTCAGAGACCCTTGGTTGGTTTTCTTAACTCTCTTGAAGTAATTCTAGATCCATAGGGAGTGTTTTGTTTTTAGTTACAGGGAGATTCCTTGTACTCTTCACCCAGTTGCCTCTCATTGTAACATCGAATAGGAAATCAGGACATTATCTGATTCACGGTGGCTGTTGAATTTGGCATTGGGGATAGTAATATTCTAAGTTATGAAAAATCAAACAGGCACTACATGTTTTTCCTCTTTTGCTCCAGCAGAGATATCTAAATCTATCCAAGCAAGCTCACAAAAGAGTATATTCTTTGCGAATTGACCTTGCAGTAGGGGACTTATTACTACTATTAAAGAACTACTAGTCACATTCACCGAGTTTCTGCTCAGAAGCTGAGTTAGGGTGACCAGCTGCCCGTTTTCCCAGAACTGTCCCAGTGCTGACACTGAAAGTCTCGCATCCCAGGAAACCCTTGGGTCCAAGCAAACCAGGACAGTTTGGACACCCTGTGAGTGCTGCATTCTCTGGTGGGAAGCCAGTGTGTTAAGCCTTTTCGTGGAGTCTGGTGAGCTTGCTTCCAAACAAAATTAGATAATTAGGCCCTAACGAGAGTTTGAGAAATAGAATGCAGCAAAAGCCTGGTAAGAACGTGTGACCGAAGTCATTGACCCGCTTCCCCTCCTGTGCAGCGTTTGAGAGCACAGTGGCTACAGTGATGGCTCTGCGCAGGGATAAGATGTTTGTGGAGGAAGTGTCCACGGGCCAGGAGTGTGGCGTGGTGCTGGACAAGACCTGTTTCTATGCTGAGCAAGGAGGGCAGATCTACGACGAAGGCTACCTGGTGAAGGTTGATGACAGCAGTGAAGACGTGAGCCAACATGCATGCTTCGTTGTGAGCCAGAGAGGGGGTCTGACAAAGGGCCAGGCCTGGTCTGGGGTAGCTTTGCTGGCTCCTCAGCCCTCAGCCTTGGGGAGCAGACACACCGAGTTTTGGCTTGTGTTCCACAGTCTGTATTTTTGAAGCTGAGGGAGCTGCTTATTGCACCATGTTGCTTTCATAGCCATGAGGTCCCCTTGTAGCAGGATCCTCACCGCCAGATGCCTGGGTAGATCCTCGGTTCCTCTGTGCTTTCCTCATAAATAGGGAGAGGCAGCTCAGAGGGGCAGGCGTCCTTGTCAGAGTCTCAGCCTTTAGCTCTGCCACTGCTGACTCTGTGGTCTCGGATGAGTGTCCTAGTCACATATGGGTCCATGTATAAGATGGCGTGTGCATATAATGTAAACGTGTACACAATGGTGCGTGTTATGTATAGATAACAAACACATGGCATTAATGGTGTATATACACGCATGCCAGTGAGGAGTGTCTTAGAGAAAGGTGTATGTATAATTTGTATCTGTAAAAAGAATGTGTATATATACACATTTGTTGGTTTATTTATTGGTCTCCTCCTTGACTCCCTTCAGAAAACTGAGTTTACAGTGAAGAATACTCAGGTGCGAGGAGGGTATGTGCTACACATAGGAACAATCTATGGCAACCTGAAAGTGGGGGATCAGGTCCGACTGTTTATTGATGAGGTGAGTTGAATTATGCTGGTCAGCATTGAATCTGTTTAGTATTTACCTCTTTTTTTTCTTTCTTTTTAATTTATCAATTTGGGAGAGACACAGAGAGAGAAACATCGATTTGTTGTTCCACTTATTTCTGCATCCATTGGTTGATTCTTGTATGTGCCCCAGGGATTGAACCTGCAACCTTAGCATTTTGGGACCATGCTCTAACCAACTGAGGTACCTGGCCAGGGCATCCTTTTTTTTTTTTAAATTTCAGCTTTATTGAGGTATAATTGACATATAAAATTATAAGGTATTTTAAAGTTCAGTCATACGCCACTTAACAATGGGGATATATTCTGGGAAATGCGTCGTTAGGTGATTTCATCATTGTGCGAACATCAGAGAGTGCACTTACACAAGCCTACATGTTATGGCCTATTACACCTAGGCTGCATGGTATATCACCGTTGTATATGTGGCCTGTCATTTACTGAAACATCGTTGTGCAGCACATGACTGTACATCACAGTGATTTGATATATTTACTGTTCATCTCCTCCTTGGCTATAAATTGGTCCATAATTATAAGGGATGAATCTGAGAGTTAAATTTATATATATGTTCCCATGTCAGACCACAGTGATTTCCATTGTGATCCTATAGACTTGTTTTCATGAATTGCCTTTCTCCAGGTTAACTTCAAACACTTCTTCAGGACCCAAGGATCCTGTATTAAGTAAGAATTAAGAAATTGATTTTAGCCCTGGCATGTACCTGAGTTGCAGGTTCCATCCCAGCCCCAATTGGGGCTCATGCATGCAATGTTTCTCTCTCTCTCTTCCCCTCCCTCTTCTACGCTCTCTAAAAATCATGGGAAAAAATATCCTCGGGTGAGGATTAACAACAAAAGAAATAGATTCTATTGTATGTGACAGAGCTCCAAAATAACAGTAACTTTAAATAAGATAGAAATGTGTTTCTCACCTAAAAGTCCAGGCTTATAAAGTTATTGGGCCCAGCTTTTCCTTGCTTGTTGCTTTGCCATCATTCCTGGGGTGTTGCCCTTGATTTCATGGTCCAAGAAGGTAGCTATCAGATTGGTTTTCTGGGTCAGGGATCGGCACTGTTTTAGAAAGGGCCAGATTGTAAATACTTGGGCATTTTGGGACATAACTGTCTCTATCATAACTACTCAACTCCGTCGTTGTGGCACAAAAGCACCATAGACGATATGTACACATATGAGTGTGGCTGTGTTCATAAGCCTATTTATAAAAATGGGTGACTAGATTTGGCTCATAGGCCATGGTTTACCACCTCCTGTTCTAGGCAGGGGGAAGGCATGCCCTTTCCCCTGAAGGGTGTGCTTACAGCTCATTGACCAGAACTTATCACATGGCTACACTTAGCTGCAAGAGAAGCTAGACAACGTAGTCTTTATTCTGGGCAGCCATGTGTCCAACTAAAACTTCTAGTACTTGGGAAGATGGGGGAAGCGAGTATTGGGGGACAACCAGCAGTCTGTTGCAGATCCCTCCACAGCCGCCTCTCTTTACAGCCCCGACGTAGACCTGTCATGAGCAACCATACAGCTACCCACATTCTGAACTTTGCCCTGCGCTCCGTGCTTGGGGAAGCTGACCAGAGAGGCTCCCTGGTTGCGCCTGACCGCCTTCGGTTTGACTTCACTGCCAAGGGAGCCATGTCCACCCAACAGATCAAGAAGGCTGAGCAGATTGTTAACGAGATGATTGAGGCAGCTAAGGTAGGTTGGGTCATGAACCTCACTCCTTCCTGCACCATCACTTTCTGTCCACAGAGTGTCAACCCAAATGCTCTCGCTCCATCGTACCATATTCTGTCCCGCACGCAGGTTTGCTTAAAGCAGTGATTCTCAGACTGTGCTCAGTGGGGGCAGTGCTGGTGCTCAGCAGAGGGTCTGAGGGCCTCTGGGGAGCGGCAGGGAGAGGTCTTCGCTCCGCTCCCTGCTCAGGACAACCAGAGCTCTTCTAGTACGTCTGGTTTACATAAAGCACATCCATGTAAGATTTATTCACAGTGTATCAAAACATTGTTGGAAACTTCTGTTTTGATTCCCTCGACTGTACATAGCACCTTCCTTCAGGAGGCTGTGGGCAGGCAGAGCCGGATTAGAAACCCAGAGCCCTGCCTGCAGGACCACACTCGTCGTCGTGCTCCCTGCTGACCGCCAGAGACCTTTCCCAGCCTCTGTTCCGTCTTCTTTCCCCGCAGCCCGTCTATACCCAGGATTGTCCCCTGGCAGCAGCGAAAGCCATCCAGGGCCTGCGGGCTGTGTTTGATGAAACCTATCCTGACCCTGTGCGCGTCGTCTCTGTTGGGGTCCCAGTGTCCGAGCTGCTAGACGACCCCTCCGGTCCTGCTGGCTCACTCACTTCTGTTGAGTTCTGTGGGGGAACGTGAGTACCTCGGGGAGCAGTAGTGGGGCCAGTGGCATTACCGCTGGCGGATGTAGGTCCTAGACCAACTGTAGTTTATCTAAGGTTTGAACAAAGCCCCAGAAGCGCAGTTGGCAAACAGCACCCCAAGGATCCCAGCATGGCAGTGCTTGTGAGCCTCCTAGGAGGGGGAGGCACTTCCCACACACTGTTTGCTCTTGTTCCTGTGCTGATCCCAGACGAGTTGGGATTCTTGGCCTGTGGATTCAGGATTCAGCAAGGCCATAGAGTGCTCATCCAGCTCCTGGTCTGGTCCCAGCCCCTTTCCCTTCTGGGGGCCTCACTTCACTCCCTTTGCTGCTTGAACAGCCTCTGAGCTGTTAATCTCATTGTCTCAGAGCCCGAGTCAGGCCCCACGGTAGGCCCAGCTCAATTTGGCTTGGGATAGCCACTTATTTCCGCCAACTTGAATTCCTCCATAGCACTTGGTACCTCCCTGGGGTCTTCCGGGGATGGTTCTGGTGACCTGGGAAGTTCCTCCTTCTGAAGGAAGCCTGGTGAAACATTTGGGCCTTGGTAGGGCTCATCCAGGGCCTCCTGCAGACCTCAGGCTGGCAGGGAGCAGGAGAGCATGTGGAGGGTGAGGGAGTATATGGGGACCAGGGTCCAGGCCTAATTCTGCCTTGACGCTTTGCACAACACTCTTTAGAGCACAGAACACAGCTTTCAAAGGCTCTATGCCTCACAGGATGACCGAGATATAATGAGAATTTGAGGTTCTCTGAGCAACAGGGAACAAAACCTGTTTGTTTAAAGGGTTGTAGGATTTTAAATTAATCTCCAATATTCTCAACTAGTGAACTGGGATTGAAGAATATAGCTTATGTTCCACCAGAGAGAACCAAAAACATGAATGAATGTAGAGCCCGCCAGCAGTTATATAGTATTGGGTATTAGGGACTACAGTTTCATTTGATCTCATTTGATTTTCCCAACAGCCCTGTGAGGGAGCATAACACTTATTCATACATGAGAAAACAGGCTCAGAAACATGGCGTCTTGCTTAGTGTCACAAAGCTCTCAGCCTCTTCCTGGCCAAGCTGGATTCTGAAATTCTTTTAAACATGCAGGGCCTTTTCCCACTGTGCCCTTTAGGGAGCTTCCCTAGGACTGACCTCGAAGGGCTCAGGGCTGCAGAGCCAAGGGCTTCAGGGGTGCAGTGGGGACCAGGGTACCTGGGCTTCCTCATAACCACGGGTTTTGTGTTCTGCCATCAGTCACCTGCAGAATTCGAGTCACGCGGGAGCTTTTGTGATTGTGAGTGAAGAAGCGATTGCCAAGGGCATCCGGAGGATCGTGGCTGTCACAGGTGCTGAAGCCCAGAAGGTGAGCAGATTGGGGGGTTCGTGGCTTAACGGAACAAGGCAAGAGGAGCTTAGTCTGCAGATCCACAGATGGTGATGTGGCTGCTGCAGTCAGAAGCAGAAGTACAGGGCTGCCCCCAAATGTTCCCAGTTACCTGGCGGAAGCAAGCCACTGCAGAGGACTTCATAGCTATCTTACTTTTAATCTGTGTAGTACACGCAAATCCTGCCCTGTGTCCCGTTATAGATCTGTCTAGGAAGGTTAGCCATGGTTTTGCTGTGATTTCCAGTGTCCCCAGCACTTACCCTCGCTCGTCCCCCTGGGGGTACGTGCCTAGTTTGAGATGGGAACAGTTGTGTGGGGTGGGACTAGCTTGTGCCTGATGTGTGCTGAAGCCTCCTAACTTAGGACTTCTCCGTTACCCTCTGCCCCGGAGCTAGTGCAGCCTTTCCGCTGGCCAGGCATGTGAGGAAGGTGCTCCGTTTTGGGTCAAGAGGCTGCAAACACTTGCTCCCTGAAGGAAGAGAAACTTCTGGTATCTTAGGGATGTGTTGTTCCATCGCCTGCCATCAGTGTTGGCCACAGTTGTTTATAGGCAGAATAGTGAAGCTGAAAGGCACCTGGAGTTGACAACTCTGACTGTCCCCTCCCAGGCCCTCAGGAAAGCAGAGAGCTTGAAGAAGTCTCTCTCTGTCATGGAGGCCAAAGTGAAGGCCCAGACTTCGCCCAACAAGGACGTGCAGAGGGAGATCGCTGACCTTGGAGAGGTAGGGCGGCTCTCCGCTCCTCAGGGCCTGCTCAGTGCTGGATCCTAGGCCTGGTGACCAGACACACCCTTTCTTGAACCCTCAAGTCTTGGCTCTCAGTGCCGTGGGCCCTGGGACTGACTTCCGCTGTCACGCAGCCTTGCAATAGGGAGTCCATGGATCCCGGAACCTGCCTGCTGCCCCCATTGCCAGTAGCAGGGGGCCATCCCAAGCACGAGTGCACACTGGTGTGGAGGGAGTTTGGGGAGGTGCTGTGGGTGCCCAGTTTCCAGGCCTTCCGGTGTTTGTTGCTATTCGGGGACTTCCAATAGCCCTTCACAGGCTGTGTTCACTACTTGGTAGGGACCAGGTCTTACAGGGTTCCCATCTCTTTATTCTGCCTCTTTCTCTCCAGTCCTGTTTGTTAAAACTGCTGTAGTTAACCCTGGCTGGTGTGGCTCAGTGCACTGGAGGGTCTCAGGTTCCATTCCCGGTCAAGGGCACATACCTGGTTGCAGGTCTGATCCCCAGCCTGGTCAAGGCACCTGCAGAAGGCAACCAATCACATTGATGTTTCTCTCTCTTTCTTGCTCCCCTCCTCCACCCCCCTCTTCCACTATTTCGGAAAATCAATGGAAAAAATATCCTCAGGTGAGGATTAACAAAAAAATGAAGTGCTGTAGTTATTCATAAGTGACTGACTGCAATACTATTTTTTTGTTTTCTCTTTTCTTCTGGACACTCATCAGGGAGGACTTTAGTGTTCAAAGCGAGAGGAGTGGGGTGGGCTGGGCTGGAACCTCACATCCTAGCTCCTTGTGGTTCATATCTGAATGGTCTTCTGGTTCCAGGCCCTGGCCACTGCAGTCATCCCCCAATGGCAGAAGGATGAATTCCGGGAGACTCTCAAATCCCTGAAGAAGATCATGGATGACCTAGACCGGGCTAGCAAAGCTGATGTCCAGAAGCGAGTGAGTCCTGGCAAAGCTGGTGGCTGAAGGGAACCAAGAGGATTTACCCAGCAAAGACTGCTGTCTGGGTGTCGGTCTGGGCCTGAGACCTGAAACCTCTCCAATGGACCTTCCTCCCTTGTAGGTGTTGGAGAAGACAAAGCAGCTCATTGACAGCAACCCCAACCAGCCCCTCGTCATCCTGGAGATGGAGAGCGGCGCGTCAGCCAAGGCAACCCAGGGGCAGGGCTCCAGGGGCTGGGTCTCCAGGCATTGCTCGGTGCCTGTCCACTGCTTGTCTCCTCTCAGGGGCTCATTAACCCTCTGGTGGCTGCAGTCTGAGCTTTGTGGCTCAGAGCGGAGTGGTCATCTGAGGGCCCACTCTCTGGGATTGAGGTTAGGCTAAGCCATGGAGAGATCTGGTGGTTGGAGAGCTAGGACCAGCATCTGCTCTAGGAAAGTGGGGGTGGGGGGAGGAAAAGCTCCGAGAACTGAGTTCTGCAAACTCGCTGTGCTTATGAGGAGCCTGGCCCCTTCCCCAGGGCCATGGCCTGATGCCAGGTTCTCCCACAGGCCCTGAACGAAGCCTTGAAGCTCTTCAAGACGCATTCCCCACAGACGTCGGCCATGCTCTTCACAGTGGATAATGAGGCTGGCAAGATCACGTGCTTGTGTCAAGTCCCTCAGGTCAGAATACCCTGCAGCCCTGTGCCAGTGGGTGTCTGTAGCTTTTCTGAGGGAGCTCAGTTCTTTTGGTTGTTTGCCCAACCTCCAAGTGTGTTTGTGCAACCCCCATTAGAAAAGCTACAGACACCTTTCTCTCTTTTAAAAAAATTGATTTTAAAGACAGGAAGGGTGAGGGAGAGAGGAACATCAATCATCTGCCTCCCGCATGTGTCCCAACTGGGACTTGAACCCACAACCTGGGTATGTGCCCTGGCCAGGAATCAAACCTGCCACCTTTTGGTGCACGGGAAGACACTCCAACCAACTGAGCAGGGCAAAGAAATAGCCCTTCTCCTGCCCTCCTGTTGGTCCCCTCCAGCATCCCTTACCCTCAGGCCCTCTCCTGGTGGATGTGTTTAACTGTGCTGGCTGATACCTGGTTTTGTCACTCAGTATGCCTTGTCTTAACCGTGGTACCACTGTAGGGTCTGCCTCAGCCTCCGGCAGCATCACCCCGGGCAGGAGTGGGTGTCTGTGGTTCCCCCATCCTTTTTCTTTCCCTCCCCTCTCAGTGCCTCCCTCAGTTCCATCCTCTGTCCTGACTCCCACTTCTCCTTCCTGTCTTCCAGAATGCAGCCAACCGGGGCCTGAAAGCCAGTGAGTGGGTGCAGCAGGTGTCAGGCCTGATGGATGGCAAAGGTGGTGGCAAAGATGTGTCTGCGCAGGCCACAGGCAAGAATGTGGGCTGCCTGCAGGAGGCGCTGCAGCTGGCCACTTCCTTTGCCCAGCTCCGCCTGGGAGATGTGAAGAATTGAGGGGAGGGGTGGCTTCCACTTGGAAGCGTCTCCCCCACACCCAGATGTATCCGTCCAGCCAGGAGATCTCCATCTGCCACACGGACATTGGAATCCTGGGACCTTTAAATAGCCCCATTTCTCCTCCTAACTCAGCAGTAACTGGAATTCACTTAGGTGCCATCCTGTGACTCAATGCCCACGTTACATTTCTGCCTGGAGCCCTACACCTGAGCACCATCTGTGTAGAACCACTATCCCAGTATTGCTACTAATCATTGTCATGCTCATGTCTATAGACAGTTTTCTGCAGACCCAAGGCTCTAGGTCTGCAGGAAGGAACCATTTTTGCTGCAGAGAATAAAAGGACCATGTGCAATACTTGATACCCTGTGATTTCTATGACTATCCACCCTCCCACCACCACCAATAGGTGCCCCTGTGTGACAGCCTGTGGCTCCCCGAGTGAAGAATAAACACTGTGGTTCTGGCTGCAGTCCTTGCAGAGTCCAGCCCCAGACCCCTGAATTTTGCGAATGGCTTCCAGGATTGCCTCAAGATGTTTGTGGAGGTGGCCCACAGGATGGAGCAGGAGTGAGATGGAGAGAGGCATGAACCAATAGCAGATCCACAGAGATACTGGAAGCAGAGAGAAGCTCCTTTCTTGGAGCCTCTCATGGGAGAACCTCCCCATTTCTTGGGCCCATGTCCCTCTTCCCTTCCCCTCGGGGGTGTTTGCTGATACAGGAGGTATTTAGGGTACATCAGTTGCCTCCCCCAACTCCTTTGCACCATCATTCCTGTTTCCTTAATCCAAAGGTGGACAGTGAGCATGGACACCCCACCTGGCCCTGAACCACTTCACCCAAGCCCGATAAAGCCAGCTGGGTCTGGAAACGTGTGCTGGGAGGTTAAGTGTACTGCATACCTACACTGGCTTCAGCTGGTTTCCTGTCTCCTGGGCACAGCAGGCTGGCGGACATGGAGAGAGCAGGAAAAGGGACCCTACCCCTGTACAAATTTTGTGCAACAGGCCTTTTTTTTTTTTTCTCAGTTCAAGTTTAATAGAAACCACAAAAGATCAAAGGTGATGTCCCACTACTGTTCACATTAGATAATTTCTTCCAGAGGAAGTATGGCTGACCCTCCCCAAACCCTACAGGAAAGGCCACATCTGGGCTAAGTCTAAGATCTTGTTTTAAGTATGACAATAGTAAAAGAGGTTCTGTTCTCATGGCTGTACATTGCCACATGACCCTATAATGACCCAGTGCTCACTTCTGCTTAGAGAAATATTCTTTGCTCTTCTGGACGTCAGGCTTGATGGTATCACTGCCAGGTTTCCAGCCAGCTGGGCACACTTCCCCATGTTTGTCAGTGAACTGGAAAGCCTGAACTAGTCTGAGTCTCATCCACAGAGCGGCCAACAGGAAGGTCATTCACAGTGATCTGGCGAAGGATACCTTTATCATCAATTATAAAGAGGCCCCTGAATGAGATGCCTTCATCAGCCTTTAAGACTCCATAGTCCTGAGCAATGGTGCGCTTGGGGTCTGACACCAAAGGAATGTTCATGGGACCCAGTCCTCCTTGTTTCTTGAGTGTGTTGATCCATGCCAGGTGACAGAAGTGAGAATCCACAGAAGCACCAATCATTTGGCAGTTGAGTTGAGAGAGCAGGAAAAGCAGGTCTGTGCTGGGAGAAGCAGCAGAGGCCAGTGTCACAGGCAGGAGGAGGGTGCCAAAACCCTGGATTCAAGCACATGCTGGGAATAGAAAGCTTCACAATCCAGGCAGCAGAGAGAACATTCCAATCATTCAAGTGGCAGCCAGGTACTGAGGGTACAGAAGTGAGCAAGACAAAAAGTCATTGCCCTCTTGGGTAAGGCAGTGGGGAATACAGAACAGTCACACAAGTAAGTGTAGAATTAAAATAAATACAATCTTGCCCCGCCGGTGTGGCTCAGTGGCTGAACATCAACCCATGAGTCAGGAGGTCACAGATTCCCAGTCAGGGCACATGTCCGGGTGTGGGCTTGATCCCCAGTCCCAGTCTGTGACTTCGTCATACAACTCTGGCAAACTAACATGCCTAAGACAGGTTTTCTTTGCCTCTTATAGTAACACTTTCTACCTTTCTTTCCCTCTCTGAAATCAATAAAAATATATTTTAAAACATTAAATATGTACAATCTTCACAAGTGAAAGGAAGAAGACACACGCCCTGGGATTGCCCTGGTCCAGGAAGCTAGAAGTCAGCCCGGCGAGCTCAGGTCCCACTTCTGCAGGCCTGCCAGGTGAGTCCACCCTCGGAGTCTTTTCCTGCATGGACAGACCTCCCAGAATCCTGACCTCATGGATAATGACTGAATTCCTGGATATAACGACACACCCACAAAACTGGTTGACCTACCCAGTTCTGACTTTTCCTGGAATCAAATCTAAAAGTTTTGTATCCCCTCTTAAAATGGCCCCACACCTCGATCCTCTCTCCTCCCAAACAATTTTCTCTGGCTAGATCAAGCTTTCCAACCCTACCACTCACACCAGTCAATTTAATTTTTTTAAAAATTGCATCACCATCCACA